TATATATATAAAGTCAGAGGTACTTACTTCTGCCAAAAAAAAAAAAAATGTCAGACGTCTGAAACCAAAATTTCAACTGCTAATATATACAACAATAATTAAGAAAAGAAAAGTCTTCACTATTTTTTTCAAAGAAAAAACTCAATACAACAAAAAAACATAGACCGAATTTATCAAGTATATATAAAATCAGATTTAGACTTAAAACTATACACGAATTCCCAAATATATTTATAAAATTTAATTTCTTTCTCCAAATTAACAACATAATAAGTAACTATATATATATATATATATATATAACAATACAAATTAGAAAACAGAAAAAAGTGTGAGTTTATGTGGGAATAATGAAAAAGATTACTTTTTTAATCTGTCATCTCCCATTAAAGTCGAACTATACAAACCCTATAATAATAATAATAAAGATTTATAAGCAGTACTTGTCCATGCATGCATGTAGTAATTACTATAAAGAAAAAAAAAAGGGTTATAAAAAGTATGGACGTACTACTCCTTCAAAACTCTGTAGCAAGAAAAAACATGTCCTACAAAAAAAAAAAAAAATTAATGATCAGACAGACGAGAACGAAGAGCAATATCTTGTTCTGCTAATGAATAGGGAAAAGATTGTGTAATGATGATATAGAAGCTGGTTACACGTATTACTATTTTTTTTTTTTTTGATTATGCATGAAACTTGATTCATAATTACATGCAAAAAAAATAATAACATGCAAACATGATCATTCTTTGATGACTCTTCAAAATTCTTGGAAAGACGTTGTTTTTATTCTAGCTAGCATTCATTACTCTTCAGTTTGAATGGACCCTTAACAATGCACTTTAGGCCATGCACCCTTTTGGCATAAATTTTTAATTTTCTTTTACAATTTTTTTCAAATTAATTCATACTTAATTCAATTTTATATGACTTAAATTGTATTAGAATGAAAAAAAAAAATTATAAATAAAAAAATTTATACCGAATTACACTTCAATTAAAACTATAACCATGTTTGCTAAATATTTAACTAAAATTTATATTTAAATTTAAAAACTGTTTAAATAAAAATTTTACTAAAATGTGTTATGTTTATTAAGAAAAATTAGAATTTGAATATTAGAGTTTTGATTAAAGTATTATGGTTAAATTAACTTTTCAAAAAACTAGCAAACAAACTAATTATCCATTTATCAAAAGACAGTCCACTTCAAATCTACTGAGAGTGTGAATCAGAATTGCACATGAAGATTGAACTTTTACTCTTAAGAATTTCAAGATATGATAATAAATAATTAAGTAGAAAACGATAATATGTTAATTATAATATAAATTAAATATTTTAATATAATTTATCTAGAAAATGTATACTAATTAATTCGCCCATTTTAGAAAATCCATTTCCAATTGAATTTCAAGGAAAGTTTTAAAATATCACCCTCTAACTATTGAATTAAGTATTTAAATATTTAAAAACAAAATTTAAAAATCATTCGATTCAAACAAAGCTAGTACTTTTTTAGCTAATGTATGAAATAGTTATCATGATTAAATCGTGATCCAAAGTAGTACTCATAATAGGCTACCTAAAAAAGGTAAAATGAAAGTAATTATATGTTGGACTGTACATATATATATATATATATTTATTTTTATTTAATTTTTTGAGACAGGGAATGTAAATTAAATTAATGCATCTTTAAAATTATGTAAAGATTGATCTGGTGCAATTTGAATATATTTTTAATTATATATATATGCATGTGACCACCTTAATTATCGGTCTGATGGCATCTAGAGAAATGAGAAACATATATATATATATTAACAATCTATTAGATTTTTCCTTTTACAGAATTATTTACGATTGAGATAAAAAAAATATTTGGATTCGAGAAACAACACAACTAAAAATTCAAATGTGATTGTATTTTCTTAACAAATATGTTAAAATATGGATTATGGTTAGTAGAGTAAATATGATGTGAACTTTTTGCGAAGACACCCGCCGTGGATTTATATTGAAAATAGAATATTTAATAATTAAAATTAAACATACAAACACTTCGATAGTATCGAAAATCCATCCAGCAAA